CATCCTAATCTGTTTTCTTAAGAACTTAGCCTGCTTTTCGATCTCCGGGTTAAAAGGTTCTAATCCTTCGTTTCCTGAAGAGCGAGTTCGCATACAACACCAAGCCCACTGATAACAAAAACACAGCTCAACACAAGAAACTCGTTATCGATTAGCGAAAATAAAAATAAAAGAAAATAGACTAGACTCCTAAAGTAAGACTTTCACTAATGTCAGTACGTAACGCCACCTCCCCGGCAACTGCGCCAATTTGATTGCGGTAATTTGGACAAGCAAATAATACCGGGAGTATTGGGTTGTCGAACCACAGGGAGATGGGGTACTAAGCATTAGCTACTAAGTTACTCATATGAAACTAGTCCGAACGAAACTTGAAAATTGGGTAATTGCAGAAAATAACAAGCAGAATAAAATAAATAACAAGGTTTTGTAAACAATAGAGCAAAACAGGATTCTTGGGATCACAATGTTTAATCACCTAGTGCCCTTTCTTAAAAAAAGTGATAAAATTCAGAATTGACCTCCCTGTCATTAAATCCAATTGCATCTGTAGAAGGGAAGGTACAATTAACGTTTGTAATATTTAGTTTGGAATTAAGACTTGTATGGGAATGCAAAGTGGAACAGAATTACTCCCGTGATTTCTATCCCTAGTGAATTTTCACTCCCGTGGCTTAAACACCCGATAAGATCGAAGATTAGCATTCAATTATTTCTAATTACTACCATCTCCTGATGCGCAACAATCTAGAATAAGATTCCCCCAATAAATTACCCTTTCCCAAGGTCCAACCATTAGGTGCAATCATGTATGCCCTAATTTATGCCCCAACTCCCGTTGGTGACACAAACATGGCTATGAAGCTAGTAATTTAGGCCTTTAATTACCAACAACAACAGATTAAAACAAGATTGCAATACGAACCATAAAACCAAACATAAATATATTAAGAAATTAACGAACTAGGCACATAGGTTCATAAACAAATTCACCCAAAAATCCCTAAGGGTTTTAGCCACTCATGGCCATAATAACAATCGATACAACGTTTAAAGATAAACAAATAACAAAGGGAATAAGAGAAAGAGTGAAAGAGTTCTCCTGAATCTTTCTAGCCAGTTTTCTATTCCAAAGCTAGTTGTAAATCTTCAAATTGGTCCTCTTTGTGCTTTGCTCTTGATTGTCTTCCAAACACCAAAATCTGGTAAAAGAAGAGCCTCTAGGGTTGGTGGAAGATGATCCTTTTATAGCAGCAACCCAATGGAATTATTTTAGGAAGATTCAAAATTTCAGCAGTCCGCGATCTCGACGCAAGGAGTCTCTAATCTGAGCGACTCTTATAGCTACTGGAAATTCTCGACGCGTCGAGAGGCTGGCTTGACGCGTCAAGGCTTTAATACTTCGACAGCTTCCTCTTTTGATCATCTCGTGCTTGAAATTCTCCCCTTGCTTTTACACTTAGCCTGTAATGGTGAAATAACACTACCAAACACCGTAAGACGTTCAAAACAAGTGTAAAACATATTCTAACGAGAAAGCAAGGAAAACAAGTATTAAATAGGCACGAATAGGTAACTTTGTTACTGAGATGAATCAAAATAGCTATAAAAATATGCACAGATGTGATAACATCATATATATATATATATATATATATATATATATATATATATATATATATATATATATATATATTGCATTGCGAGCTGCCATTACTTGATTGGTTTACCGAGCGTCATTTTGGATCATATATGATCCACACAACTGTGTGAATCATGGTCCACTATATAACTATTGATTTCTAATGTGATTTGGTCAATTCCAACCAGTTTAGCCCATTATGCCTTTATGGCTAACCATAAGAGCAATAGTTATGCTGTGCAACCGAATGCACCATGCATGGTGCATACGATGTAAAACGACGTCGTTTTGACTAAAAACGCGCGTTTCACTTAAAAAAAAATTCAGGTTCGATTCTCGGCAATAGCATTATTGTGGATATATAGTTATGAATTTCTGGATATATAGTTATGAATTTATGGATATTTAGTTCAATCATTGTGGATATTTAGTTCATTCATTGTGGATATTTAGTTCATTCATTGTGGATATTTACTTCATTCATTCACTGTGGATATATAGTTATGAATTTATGGATATATAGTTATGAATTTCTGGATATTTTGTTCATTCATTGTGGATATTTTGTTCAATAATTGTGGATATTTAGTTCATTCATTGTGGATATTTAGTTCATTCATTGTGGATTTTTTACTTCATTCATTCACTATGGATATAGAGTTATGAATTTATGGATATATAGTTATGAATTTATGGATATATAAAAATGTTATTGTCGAGAATCGAACCTGATTTCTTTTTTAAATGGGACGCATTTTTTTTTTTTTATATAAAACCAAAACGACGTCGTTTTTGCATTTCCTACAATTGGAAGTTCATAATTTCCTACAATTGGAAGTTCATAATTTCCGCAACACACTACAAACATCGTAAGACACATAATAAGAATTCCGATGAAACTTCACAATACAACATTATCATACATTTCAATGAACCACTCTTTTGATACAATAATAGTTCAACCAACCAACCAACATTATGGAAGATGAACTCCAACAACTCAATGAAATATCATTGTGATAACAGACAAACAAACCCAATCAACCATTGTTTGGCCATAGTAAGTTCAGAACTAACATCTCAACCAAATACCAAATCATATTTAACACCAACACTTCAATGAATCTCACAATCCAGTAATAGAAGACTATCACTTATTTGCTAAAATTCTTTGCAAATTCCCAAAATAAAATGTCTAAATGAGATGGTAGCTAGGTTTTGATGTTCCATTGGTAATTTGGTATGCATACCTTGGTTAAACCAGATTTCCTCAATCACAAAATTATCAAATTGCATTCTCATCACTTTTTTATTTTATTTTATTTTTTTTTTGGAGCTTTCATTGGTTGGCAGCTCAATCTAGTAAAAAAATAAAATTAAAAACTAGAACAATTAAGGAAAAATAGGAGAAAGTATATGAACAGATACTACAATGTAATAGAGCTAGTAGCATTCAAAAAAAAAAAAAGGAAAAATAGGAGAGGAAGGAGGGATTAAAAAAAAATTGATTAATAGAACCAAAAGACTCATAAACTATTTATCAAAATTCATAATTCATATATGGGAATTAGAGAGAGACCTTAGTTACATCACGAACAACAAGTCCTTCATATCCCAAGTTTCGCTGCGCTTGTTGGATCTCCTTTGTTGAAGTCACAAGAGAAGAACAACAGTTGTCTAACTCAATTAATCGCAATGTACAAACCTCCTCAAAATCATTTGGAACTTTTTTCAAGTCCCAACAATATCTTAGAACTAGACGTTCCAAAATTGGGAAATGGTTTGCATTTGCCTTCCAATGTTCAAGATCAGAGCGCTCAATAAAGAAGAACCTTAGTTGTAGAAACCCCCCTTCTCTTGGTTTCCACTCTGGGCCACAAAAGGCAAAATCCTTCAATTTGAGTAATTCAAGGCCAATAATTTCCATATCTTCCTATGAAAGATACGTGTTACTAAGGGTCAATTGCTTGAGGTTTGATGGAAAACAATTTGGGAGATTAATCCACTCCACCCTTCCCGTTTTAACCTTTAACTTCTCAAGTTGATGTAACTGAGCAAGGCTGTCAAGAGCATTAGGCAATACTTCACCTTGAATGTAGATCCCCAATTCCTTCAGGTTTGGAACTTTTGTAAAGTCTATTGTTCTTGAGTCCTGGCCGGTAACTTTGAACCATGAAAGAGTTTGTAAGTTTTCTTGAACAAAGTTTGGGAGATAATATGAAGATCCCTTGTCAAAGCGCACATGCCTTAACCATGGCAAATCCAAAACATTACATGGCAGTAGCAATTGATACTCTTTTGTCCACGCGGAGAGAATGAGAGTTTGCAAATTTTGGAGCTTAAACAATTGAGAGTTACAAACAGAACCTATATTTCTTAAAGCTAAATATCCTAAATAAACCAAATTTACAATCTCGCTAGGAATGCCGTACCAATATTTTATTAATAATAAGTCCAACACTCTTAACAACTTCAAAGATGATGTGATTGTCGACCAACACTTTGCAAGATATAAAGTTTTATCAAAGTAGAAAAGGGAACTGATTTTATGTGAAGATTTAGTAAAATAGCTTCTAGGGGAAGCATATAGACAACTTACGCAACGACTCCCTTTGAGAAACTCATTGTGTTCCATCCCAATAAACGTCATAATATCATCCTCCATTGCTTTTCTATAGCAAAATACATGTAAAAAATCATGAAGCATACATGATTTGATTTTTCTATCCAAACTCCTCTTTTGAACTTGAACTAGCCTTCTACCGATAAGATCACACAAATAATCATTAGCTATCTCTTCTAAACTCTTGTTCTTGTTCATTTCCGGATTTACAAATCCTTCATCCACCCATAACTTTATCAATTTTTTCACATGAATTTCGGTATTCTTATGGAAAACTCCGAAATAAAGAAAACAAAGTTTTAGGTGAGTAGGCAAATAGTTGTAGCAAACTTCAAGTATGCAATCCAACAATATCTCAATACGATTCTTGTTTGATGAAATGGTGAACAGAATATCCTCCCACTGGCTTGGTGAGTTGTTGAGTGTGGCCAGAAGTCCACCAATCAAAACAATTACTAGTGGTTTTCCCTCACATTCCTCAACAATGCATCTCCCTATTTTCTCAAATTCAGGGGATAGACTACTACATAATTTTCCATTAGACGTTGCAGTTTTGCTTAATAATTTCCAGCTTTCTTCTGGATTCAGACCACGTGTTTCGAAAATCCACATACCTGAACTGCTAGCAAATTCAGCCAGTTTCATATATCGAGTAGTTGTCAAAACTCGGCTTCCATTTCTATCATCTGGAAAAGATGTACTCTTGATTTCATCCCATGCCGTTGTGGAGAAAAGGTCATCAATGACAACGAAATACCTTTGGCCCATCAGAAGTTTGCGGAGTTGCTCTGCTAGCTGCTCATCATCTTTTTTGGAGATTTCTTCTTTGCTCAATGACACAATACAACTAAGAATATCAATGAGTTGATTTCTCTTACTTTGTAATTGACCTTGAACCGTCCACGCTAGAATGTCAAAGTGAGACACAATTGAATGATCTTCGTAAACTTTTTTGGCCAAAGTAGTCTTTCCAGTGCCTATCATTCCCAGAATTGAAAGGACTTGTAGTTGAGTGGACGAAGAAGTTAGAATGAGCATGCCTTTTATTTTCTCAACATCACCTTCCATTCCTAGCATTGTATTCTCTGAATCAAGCTCTAAATCATAGTTGGAGGAGGAGGAGGAGACACCATCCCTGACGTTCTCTAGCTGTAAACAAGGTGGTGTTGATGAAGAAGAAGAAGAAGACACCATACCTGCTGTATGTCTGGTTTGCAGATCTCTGATGCGCACCTCAACACACACAATATCCTTCACTACTTTTTGCAAGCTCCGATGAAGATCTTCACAAGCTGCAGCCATTACTGCTACTTCGAACTCTCCCTCGCCCTGCAGCTGGTTAGCCGCCAAGTAAACTTCACCCAATTTGGATTCGATTTCATCTTCTGCTTGTATTGCAACATCTCTAATTTCTTTGTCCAGCCTTTTCACTGCCTCATTGCGATCGGGATCAGAGGTAATTATGGGATTACGTTTGTGAAGATAGGCCAGCAGGAAATGGAGCTTGTCCTTTAAGGTGGATAGGATGAATTGAGCATCATCTATCTCAGGAAGAATCAAACAAGGATTGTTTTTATGAAGAAGAAGAAGAAGCTGTAGTTGATCTACTATTCCTAGTAGACTACTTACAACAACACAATCCATTGCTCAATTCAATTGCTTTTTCTCTTCGATCTTCTTTTTCTCAACTACCGATGGATCTTTGGAGAATTTCGAATTGGCTATAGTATATTTGGTTGGTGTTATTGTTCAAACAATAATTAAAACAAGAGATAAGGTTTCAGAATCTTCCAGGAGGACCTGATTTTTTTTTATCTCCAGTGGTCCCCACCAAAGATGAAAAGGCTTTTTCTTTTTTTTTTCCTAATGTGGTTGCTCTATTTAACATACCCATTGCATTTCGCCATTTCAAACTAAACCTGCCCTTGATTTCGAACTCTGCATCTCTCTCTACATACTAGCTCACTACAATTCTCTACTGGGAATAGTGGATCAACACCTTTCGCATCCCAACCCATCTTTCAACAATATTCTTCATGATGATGAAGGGACTAAATCGACTAAAAATAATTGTTTTCAGGGAACAAATCGATGAATAAGCAATTGAGGGACTACATTGACAGTTCGCTAATAATTGAGGGACCAAATCGTTGATTGACTCATAATTAAATCCATAATCTTTAATGGAGCATTTTAATAATCTTTTCTGAATGATCACTCCCACTGATTAAAATATTTTTCAGCGAAACTTAATAAAATGAATATACATACTCATAATTGATTTGACCAACTAATAAATGAAGATATAATTCCTCACCATTAGTTGGGCATACTAAATAATCTATTTTGTTCCAATTAAAGTCCAACTTAAATAATGAAGATATAATTCCCCACCATAGTTGGACATACTAAAAAAAAAAACAAATACACCTTTCAAAACCAAGTTAGAATTTGGCTCAAAAGATACACTTTATTATTAATGGAATCCAAAAGAGGTATGTCAAATCACGTAACTTACTACAGTTAGTCCGAAGAACCGAGCAAGCTTCGTGGATCGATTAATAAAAGTGGCTAAATTTTGGGAAGTGACTGAATACAAGTTTTGCCAATGCAAACCATGAAACTTAGAATTATAATTGAACTAAATTTTTAAATTCTAAGAATTGTGATAAAATTATTATCTAATGGTTGATGGATTTATTGACATAAAACTTACATGTGGGCTAAAATTTTAATTCTATTAAATCCAATTAAACCCTTATGACAATATTTTTCACAACTACTAAATAGACAGAAGAATCTAGTGACATAAAACTTGTCTGTGGGCTAAAGTTTTACTCAATTAGATATAACTGAAAAAATTTATTTATGATGAAACAATTATCAAATGAGTTGAAGAATCAAGTGACATAAAACTTGCATGTGGGCTAAAGTGTTATTCAATAAGATTCATTACAACCATTATGATAAAACTTAAGAAATCATGTGCCTTTTCTTAATTCCTGTGGGCAAATTAAGAAATATGATATAAAGTTTACATCATAAAATTAAATTTTATGGTAGAATTAGAAATCATAAACTGATCTATTTCTATCATCACTGATAAAACTACTAAACTACATTCCGATAAATAATTGCCTGTGGGCTAAATTATGACCCTAGTCTAGTATTTCATCCTAATTAATTATACAAATTAAATATAACGAAATTGCCTGTGGGCTAAATTTCATCATATTACATACAATTAATCACAAATGATATGTCCAAAACTTTATGTGATCAAAATAAACCGCTTAATATATAATTTTAATAGATTAAGGATGTTGTGGCTACTCTCAAACCAAATTAAAATTATAAAATCACTAGACAATTATCAATTCCTTGCCTAACCTATATAATTTAAACTGATTAAGGATGCTGTGGCTACTCCCTAACCAAAATTAAAATTATAAGATCATAACTTAATAATCTTAGGTAGTTGAATATGCTGTAGCTATTCCTTAATTAACCAAGATTGAAAAACTTAAGAGACTTCAATAAATTAAAGATACTATGGCTATTCTTTAATGAACCGAAACCAAAACACGTTGGCAAGGAATACTTAAAAAAAATTTTGGCAAACAGATTATACCAAATTGTGATGGGAAAATCTAAATATACTCCAGGAAAAGGCGGTTAGAGACAAAGTCTCAATGAAAACGAACTTCTTAAGTAGAGTATCAATTTAAGGAGACTATTGGCACAAAATGTCCTTAAGTCATGACCATTAAAACTAGTATGCCTCCCCGATTCATATACTTAATGTATAACTGTTTGGGGGTATGAACCGAAAAAAACTGTAGGATATAATCCAAAAACTGTATGGTTCACCTATGATTAAAGCTTAAATGGTGTACTAAATTAGCGGACTAAACGTGCTTAAATTCAGACACTACCGCAACTAAAGTTTATGCATAAGTCCAACTTAATAAGGAACTAATATAATTTCATCATAAAGTATGCATTGCTAAAGGCATAATAAAATTGCATAATTTAAAACAAAATATTATGCTTAGGACAAGTATGCATAAAATTAAACATTAAACTCATATATTCTAAATAAATTGCATAACTTAAAACAATTTTAATATTAGCTTTCAAAATATAAAGTTTAATATTCAAAGCACTAATCTGAGCCCAAACCAAAAGTACCTAGCTTTGAATAATGAAATAATGAATAAATATTTTGAAAGATTCAGACTGTAAGCCCATGACAAAATATTTTAATGCATAAAATCAAACTTGTGAGAAATAGATTGAATTTACAATTTCAAACAATATCAAGCCAAAAGTATAATTGTCATTTGTAAATTAAAGTCTCACAAATCTTAATTGCATATTAAACTTAATATTATGCACTTAATGTGATTGAATGCATAAAACTATCTAAAGAGTATAAATCAACTAAAGAGCATGAATTTATAACAAATATTCAATTATTCATACTTAATCAAATATGGGCAATAAGAACTAAAATCATAATTCAAAGAACTAAATGAATTATGGAATTAATGGCAATAGCCAATTGCCGAGAAAATATGTTTTTTTCCAGAAAAATTGATTCGAAATCACTCTTCATAACCCAGTTAATAATAATATTATTATTATTAACGACAAAGTTGCAAATAACCAAAATAGCAATAAATAGCCATAATAATATTACCACATTAAGTAGGAGAGTAAATATGAAAAAAAAATGGTAAAACCGCTAACATTTATAAACATTTTCTGATATAATTTTGAAAACTTAATAAAATTTGAAGTCCGAAAAACTTTAAAGTCAAGAAAATTATTTTCTGTACTGGAATATTGTCACATAAATTTATTTGGAAACAGTTCAAGATGCATAACTGAATACCATAACAGTATTAATGTCATCATTAATTAATTAATTAATTAATAATAATAATAGGTAACATTATGATCACTATAAACATTAATAATAACGACAAATCAAAGTATGGTAATGCACATTTTAATGTTTCCATTTTCTGAAGATAAATATGTGACTAGCCAAATTAGCGGTTAACTGCAACTGTAGCACTAATTATCAATATCAATAATAACCATAAAAGATAATTAATTGCTAACCTTAATGATGCAAACCGCATCTCTCCATTGCGCTAACAACGATGACGATCCACAAGAGAAGAAAAAACTCCAGAATTCTCCCATTCTTCACTATCGGTGTCAATAAACTCGATGCAACGTCCAATGGCACGTTTGGTAAGACTTAATTACTGTAAGTGTACAAGTCTAGTACACATTAAAACCTTGGTTGGCTAATTTATTTAGTTTCAATTTAATTAGATTTAAGATGAGTTTAAATCTATTTGGACATTTTCCTATCTTATAAGATTATTTTAAGTGGCTATCATTTATTGAAAATTTAAGAAGAGAAAGTCAACAGAGCATACGGTTAGGGAAGTTCAAAATAGAATATGTGGATGTGGTTTGTTGAAGATTATGGATGCTATCTTTATGGATCAAATCTGGTGGCCGGATTAAAAGTTACTATAAAAAGGAAGCTATTCCTTTTTGGAAACTGACGAATTGAGAGCTGCTATATTAAGAGAAAGGAAATTCTACACAAAGCTTTTATATTAATCATTTTATTATATTATTTCTTGAGAGTTTAAATCTAAGCTGCACAGTCTGTACCTGGTTCAGCTGAAGCTTCGCTTGAAGATCGTCACGGCATGCACGTACAATCCTGAGTAGATGTTAGGAAGGTGTTGTGGTAGTAACGGCTGGTAGCCTTTTGTACTTACCTTTTGTATAACTC